TTTTTTTATTATTTTTCTTCAATTCTTTCTTCGGAATTAATTCAAAGCCCCTTAAATTAAAATTAGAAAACTAACCGACCTCATTAATTAATTTCCTTTTACTGGCTACCTAGAAGAGTAGAAGTAGAAGCTTCTGCTTTTTTTTTTTTCCTTTGTCTTGGCACAGCAACCAAATCCAAGAAAGTATTATGTGGCTTCCCATTAATAAATTCTTAACCATATCTCTTCTATATATTCATTAATTTTCATTTATTTGATCAAGTATTCATCTCCTTCCTTTTTCTTTTGGGCTTAGGAGTTAGGTCATATTAGTCTACTTGGATGATGAGGACATGTTGCATGCTACAACTCCTAAAATAATATTCCGGTAGTAATAAATATATAACATTTCAACTTAAGAAATTAAGGACAAATACATAGTATTGCACTACATGATGCAACGAAATTGCATCTTGACTTAATTTTAAATTATGAGTAGTTTAATGTCTTAACTTTTATTAATACAAGAAATATGACTTAAATTCGAGGCAAGATTAGTACTTGATAAAAAATTCTCCTATCCCTAACATTTTTTATTTTTTGTAGCTCTATATATGTCTAAATATATACTCCATTTCAATTTTCTTTTGTTAATTAACAAAAAAAAATCACATATTAGTGACTAATTTTTTGGTTATTAAACCCTTATTTTTCATCACTAACTAAAAGTTAATAACATCTATATAAAATTGAAAAAGACAAAAATATTTTTAATGAATGAGAAATGCATGAAGATTTCATTCATGAAGTTTTCATGTCTTCTCTCGTGCAGGGCAGACTGAACCCTGCCATTTTTTCATAGAGCACACCATCGATTCTTAGAGCACCACAAAAAGGAAGCTAGCTTTTCTCTAATCTTTTCCCTTAGTTGCTTGGAGAGTAACAAATAATCCATTAAATTACAGATGTACAGAAAAGAAAACCAACACAATGGATATTCGAAGATCCAAAAACACCCCAACAGTTTTTTTTTTTTGTTAATAGAAGAACACACACCAACAGAAATTAATATAGTTGATGCAATTGGGAAAGATAGATTGATGAATCTCGTGAGAGAAATTAATTGACATGTCCAAAGGAGGCCTTGGGGGTTGCTCACTGGTCCCCTCTAACAAAACACATGCTTTCGTTTTCCCAGTGCAAGTGTGTTGTGAAGATACAAACTATGCTTTTCCAGTTACCGGTGTGCGCATGCAACTACACCTTTTTTATCCTTAACATACAATCAACTAATCTAAGTCTTCCCATAAATATTACGACTATAATTACTAAGATTTTATTTTATTTTAGTTTTCCAACAAAGTATTAGCCTTTGCCCGTTTTGGCCCATGTAGCTATAGCTTCCATGAGAGATCGAGACAGGATGTCTCTTTCCCTCTCTTTTAGGGTTTGCTTGGCCTGCAGTTTTTTATAGAAGTGTTGTTTTGGTAGATGTAATTTGTAAAAGTGCGGATTTAAGAGTTTATCAGAAAAATATATATATATATATTTTAGAGATAAAAAATATTAATTATACAATTTAAATCATTAAATGAACGGAGGAATTGTAAATATGGAGAACTATCTCTCCACCTAACCCTTTTTATTTTACAATTCGAATGGCAGGATTCTCTTCTAAAAGTTTCAGGCCTTGTAGTTTCAGCTACTAACTATATTTTAATACTTACTGTTGATTTGAGGGGGGAAAAAAAAACATGTAGATACTATTTTCATTTTGAAACAATTTCCATTTTTTTAAAACAAATTTAGCATTTAGTTTGAATTTAGTCTAAATTAATTCCAAAAAATGACAATTACGGAGTATTTTATTAAAACAGAGAGTATAATTAAAAAATTTATTTTACTATGATAGGTTGAATGTTGGATAGATACATACTACAGTACTCAATTACATGAAGGATAATTTTTTATGGATTAAATAAAAGCCATTTATTTGTACCAAAAGTCCCGCACTCGGTGGCCTAATGGCCACTCTTTGCAGGGATGTGTGTAGGATTAAAAGAACTTAGAATCAAATCTCAAGTCCCCCATTTCCTTTTTCCCCAAAAAAAGATTTTATAATGTTCAAAAAAAAAATTTATTCACAACAGCAGAGGTATCCTGGTGGCAAATGGGTTGGTAACCCTCTGTGAGGCCTGGTGTTCGAAACCAGATCTGTTTTTATTATCGGATGCTGGTCTAATTGATTCAACCAGTCGATTAAGTTTGGTTTTCAAAACAATATTTAATGTTATCGTACGATTTAAATTTAAAATTTTTTATTTTTAATAAAAATATATTATTATTAAGTTATTTAAGTTATTGGTTTAGTTTCCTTATTAGTTATTCAAGTTTTAGTCACGGCCAAAAGTGGAAGACTAGTAATTTTTTAGTTCTTCTAGTCTATGCTCTGTACCAGATTAGTGTATGTTATGGGTTTTGAGAGGATAATAATGATGACTTAAAATCGATAAAAGTAATTATAACTTACAAAGAAATTAGAGGGAACAAATAGTATTGTCAACGTCATATCTACTTTTTATTTGGAAATGATATTTACCTTCAAAAAATTTAAAAATTTATCTTGAAGTTGTAAAAAATTAAAATGTTTAAATAATTAAAATATTAAAAATAAATTTTTAAAAAAATTTAAATATTTTAAATAAATTAACATATAAAAATATTTAAAAATATTTAAATAATTTCATAAATTATATGAATTAAAATATCTAAATTTTCACTTTTTTTCGTTTCTCTTTAGTAACAATCATGGTAACTTTAAGTTAAAATTGATAAAAATATAAAAAATAAAAATTAGAGACTACATTTTACCTTCTCTTTTCTTTGACAATAGGTTCAAAGAAGACTTGTTTAATTTAAAGATTGCTCGCGACAAATTTCCATTTTACGTATTCCTTGACATGAAAATTGAACCTAATTTTATGCATATGTGTATTAAGTATAGAGTATGTGTTTGTTTGCATTTATTACAAATTCCATTATACCCTCTAACTGCTATCCAAGCACTTCAAACTTATAAGCACAAAAATGAGAAGCATGAATGGTAAAGGTGAGGTTGGAAATTATAAGATCACAAAAATTATTGCTTCAAACATTTTCTAAATGGAAAATGTAAAAAATTTCCCCTGCAATGGCATTTAGACAAATTGAACCATAGGCTAGTAAGAATGAAGAAGCAAAGGAATGCATTATAAAAGGATATCATTTCTACCATTCTTTAACTGATCATAAGAATGACAAAAGCTAATTATAAATAGTCTAAATGAAGAATGTTATGGATCCAAAGAATTATGGTACACAAACCTTGATCGGGTCTGTGCTCAGACAAGCATTCCATCTATTGGTAGGACCCCCTGACAAGAATGTCAATGCCAAAGTTTCATGCAGAAGCCAGCAGGAACAACAGATGATCTCTTGTTTGAGATACAATCCGAAAAGGTATCCACAAGCTGTTCTGCAAGAGACGCCGGATCCCCCTTAAAGGTGTCAACAAAGACCTTCACAACCCTGACCTCCTGTGGAGTTGCTCTCAAGCTGTACCAGGTCAGGAACTTCTGCCTGAAATTCTTCTCTATGTGGCCTTCACACTCTAACCATCTAATCACCTTCACATAACGCTCAAAATCACAATCTGACATGCCATTGGCCATGCACTCTTCATCCCTCCTTTCCCCATTTCTCTTCTTTGATGAACTTCCATCTTGAGGCTCCTTTTCTTTCCCAGTCCCATTCTCTGCATCCTTGCTGCTGGATTTTGATCTCCCACTCCTTCCTTGCCCATCTTTAGATATTTCTAACCTGCAGGGAGTAATGGGCAAGCCAGCTTCTGAGCAACCCATGTAAGGCACACATTCCAAGCCAGTCTGAACTGGGGCGTCAGACCCATTATCAGTGCTCATGTCCTCAGTCATATGGCCCTCTAGCACATGTTTTTTCTCAACCTTCAGGACATCAGAGTCAGGTATAGAACCAGCTACCTCCATGGCATGCTCCTCTCCCAAAAGAGAAACTGCATCTGGCGGGTTTCCATCTTCACATAGGATAATGCAGTTGTTAGCACCAGTAGATAGATTTATGGAAACAGATTTATTAACCTCCTTGCAATAACTATGATAATTGTCTGCTCGGTCATCGTTCTGATCACTATAAGGAGTACTATTATTAGTTTCATCTTCTACTGAAGATGGATTAGAAAGGCTGCTACAATTGGTAGTTGGGCTGTGACTCCTTTCCGTTACTGAGCAGTTTGGGACTTCAACCCCTCTACTGGCTGTTGAGAACTGAACTTCACATTTACCCAGCTCCCTTGTACTGTTAAAATGAAGAATTTTAAAATGATACTCAGTAGCTGGAGTGAGTCCTGTCACAACAAACCTTGTGTTAGGTGCAAAAAGGGTACAAGTTGATTTCACTGGATAATCCCTGTCATGAGCCTTCCGATACCATAAGGTGTAACCCAAAATACCGGCCCCTGAAGGTTCTTCAGAACCCAAAATCACAGTAAGAGATGTTGGTTGAACATCTTCAAAGCGTACCAATGGTGGTGCAGTTGGATTTGAATCTGGAGATGTTAGAGAACAAATTGACATCATTTAAAGGGAAAAACAAATGTTTAACGTATCAACATGAATTGTTATGATGTTTACTAGAAATTTTCACACATATTTTCACTTCATGCCAGGAAGTTGGGATAATGTTCTACGGTGACGCAGGATTAATGATTGAACACTATTAGCAGCAAATTATCATGTTGAGACTAAGGTAAAGATTACCTTGTATGATAGTATTGGGTGAAGAATGCACACCAGTGTCAGAAAGCATTTTGTCCAGTGTCTCCACAGCAAGAGAACAGAGTTTTTGAACTTCTGGTCCAGAAGAAAGCCTGTTAACAATTCCCCTACCCATTTTCACTGGTATACCGGTTAGTGGGCCTACTTCAGCTTCAAGCTTCTTAACAGCTTCATCCACAATTTCATAAAGCTTTTGGTACTTTTGAGTCCCATTAATAAGTTTTCGGCCCAAGGACATGCGATAACAGAGAATGTCTACCCTTCTAGTCTCCTTTGCAACTATCAGTTGTTTTCTCCAGCAACTAGATGCATTAAAAACCAACTGCAATCAGAGTCTGTTTTCACCTTATATACATAAACACTAACATGTAATGTGATCAATGTTGCATTACTAGTATTAGAGACATATTCGCATGCTAACCCCTGCTAATAGCATTCTTAGATAGTGGTAGAGAACTCAATTACTCGTATAAACTTCAAAACGAAAAAAAAAAAGAAAAATACAAATTTACCATTTCAATTACTTGGAGAAACCAACCACAAATAATAGGGTAAGGATCAGGAGCCAACACTCTATAAATAAAACTTACATACAACAAAAAGAAGAAGAAGAAGAAGAAGAAGAAGAAAACTAAGAAAGGTAAAATGAAAGATATAATAGCAAGAAGTACTCACCCAAGTAAATCATTTATTTTTCCACATGCAGGTGCAGCACAATAAAAGCTCCCATCAATTCCTGCATGCCGTCTATCTTTCCCAATTCCAGAATTTTGATGCTTTAAAGCACACTCAAGATGGCATGACATACCACAAGAATTGCCTTGAAATGGAGGCTCTGAGCTACAAATTAACCAGAGGCTAGGATCCTTATTGTCATCATACTGATAACATATGCAGCATGAGCACCTCTTGCAAAATGCATCCTCTCGTCTCATTGTAGCTTTACAAGCAGAGTTTTTGCAATAGGTAGTATTATTCATTTCATTTCCACCATTACCAGTTGCAACATCATTCACTGGAACAGGCAGTCTAGAAGGATTATCAGCTTTCCTCTGCCTTTTGGATGCTTTCTGACCAACTGAAGGAGAAGACTGTGTTTCAAGGTCTGATAAGATCTCATGTTCCTCTGACTTCTTTTCAGCTACTATTTTTAGAAGATTTTCTATAATTCTCATCTTTGTCAAGCCAGTGTATTTCCTCTCCTTTCCCATCTCTGCACATAGAATCTGTAAAATATCCTGTCGGCTCCATGACTGTAGCAATTCAGAGGCCGGATATGATCTCTTTGATAGTTCATACACAAGTTCTCTCTTTTCATCCACACTCATCTTACTACATTTTGATGGATCAAGTGGAACTCCTAGGAGGAAAAGAAAACTGCACCTTAATATATGGAAGGAAGAGAAGGGTCCAACAAAAAAAGCAGAGTATTTTATTATGTTCATTAAATTCTGGGGAAAAAAAAGGTTGGAATGAAAAACAAATAGAATGATCATAAAACTAAAAATCATCAACATTCTTAAGCATTAATATCCTTGACCGATGACCATGACATGCAACAATGGAAAAGAACCAAAGGATGATGACACTAGGAACAAGAACACTTACGCTGCTACCATATACACAAGCAATCAATAATAATATGAATGAGTTAAGAAAGCACCACCATGATTCCCAAGTCCCAACCTATTTACAATTTAATGGTTGACTTTCATTAAAAAGTACATTCCAACTACATAAAAAAAAGAAAAAAAAAAATTGACAATTTACAGAACAATCCAATAAAGCTAGGCACAGGAGCTCATCATAACTCAGATAACTAATATGTTGAAACCAATATCATTTGACTTCAAAATATGCCCTCTGGCTCTCAACTGTCATCTAGCTACCACATGGATCTTGCTTGTCGAATACAATCTTATACAATAAGCTAACCATTCCGCAATTGCAGCAATATAATATCTGGGGAATATTGTCCAATCAAACGCAGGAAACCAACTCAGAAACTACCCACCGGGAAAAATTTCCAAGAACCAGTACTAGAATGCAGAACAAGATCAAAGCAAGGATAATCTCAAACTCCAAATATTTCCAGAAACAGAAAGCATTCTTATGAGAGAACAAAGAAAGCATCAATATTGATTGATACCCATAAAAGCCCTACAACTCAAACCAACATCCAGAGCATCAAAAACACTGATAACATAATACTGAAACAAGTTGACCACCAAGAGAATTACTAGTTCCCCAAAAGATCTGACTTCTAGACATTCAATAAACTGAGAACGAAACGGGCATTCAACGCATAAATTATTAATCTTTCATAAATCACAACCAATACAGAGTACAACGCAGAAAATGAATCCCAAATTATATTCACAAAAATAAAAAAAGAAATTACCCTCAGAAGAAGAATCCATAGCGACCGTAGTTTAATAAGATAGTACCCAACTCACCCACATTACCATCAAAACCCCAACTTTTTTTTCTACCCTGAAAAAGAGAGAAAGATCCCATTCAGAAAACACCAATCAGAAACAGAGAAAATGAGAATAAATAAATAAATAAATAAATAAAATACCCAATATAAGAAAATAAATAAAATAAAGAAATAAACCCAGAAAAAGAGAAGATGTGATTATGATGGGAGAGACTAAAAGAAAAGATGAAAGAATAAGTATAACAAATACCAAGAAAGGAAGCTTGAAATTCTGGCAGTGCCACAACAGAAGAATCCATGAATTGTGAAGCCCCCTATTCCTTGTGTGTGTGTATGCATAAAGAATATAGATTGTTGTGTTGGTATGGGTCCTCTTTGTGGGGTTTTCCTTTCAGGAGCCGAAGCTGTGGTGCGAGAGAAGATTCGAGGAGGACTTGTTCTGAGAGGAGAGAGAGAGAGAGAGAGAGAGAGAGAGAGAGAGTCAGTCTTTAAGATGAGAGCTCTGTTGAAGGGGCGAAAGCGGCTGCATGTCACTTTTTCACCCTCTTTCCCCCCCACATGTTTACTTCTTTTCTATTGGTTTATTTTACTATTTTATTTTATTTTATTTTGCCAACCTTTTTTTGTTTTGATTAAACCCCATTTTAGTCCCTCAATTATTGTATGGACCTCAAATTGAGTCCCTAAACTCAAAAAATTCTTAATTTAATTCTTACTGTTTATCATTTTGACCCAATTGGGTCCTTCTGTTAAGAATTAAGTGACCGTGTCTCATTAATTAACAGAAGCATGATGACATGTCGAATATTAGATACACCTGGCAAGACAGCATGGCAAAAAAATAATGATATGGCCAAAAAACTAAAAAAATATTCTATTTTCGTCTTTCCCTTTCTCCTCCTCCTTCATTGCCTTGCCTTCTACAATCTAACCCCCCCACCCCACCCCACAATGAAACCTGCAATTTCATCCTTTCATTTTCTTTCTCTCTCTATCCCTCCCTCAACACCAGATTTGGACATTTTCCCTTCCAATTTCTCTCTCTTGCTGGGTTCGAAAGAAACCCACTAGAGAGAACAAAGGAATCCGCCTCAAGATCAATCAGAAAATGCCCGAATTCTAATAAACGCACAAAATCACAGATCCCCAACAAACCCGCACCAGAACCAACAAATCCCTCCTAGATCCATACCAACACCCAGAAATTACCACCAAAACAACAAGAATCAACGAACCCATTAACATTTACCACCCAATACAGAAGCAAAATAGTTACCTCTTGCTCAGACAAGGGCTTGCACTGCATGAGCTGATCAATCTGCTCGTCCAGATTCCCATGAGAATTCGACGGCACCGAATACAAACTCATCTTTTTGTCTCCCCCTTCTCAACCCTTTCCTCTGGTTCTTGCCAGATCAAACCCCCAAATTCCGTCACTGCAAAAACCCTAGATTTCGAAGAAAACTTGTATAACCAGAGATTGAAACCCTAAATTTCCAGAATTTCTAGTGAGAAAACGGTGGTGAAGAGCCCAATGTCTTTCTCTTTCTATTCCGATCAATCGCTCACTTCTTTTTAACCAAAAAAAAAAGAAAGAAATGAAGCCCAGCAGCTTTAAGAACCCAGCAGATCTGGAAGAGAAAGGGGTGAGGAAAGTCAAGGGAAAGAAAGATGAATTGATTTGGTGAGGAAATTCGAAGGTGGTTTCAGGTGTTAGGATTTACAGGAGCAAAAGGAAGGAAGATGAAAAAGGAAACGGGAAAAAGAAGAAAAAACCAAAAAAAGGGAATTTCTTAATGTTTTAACAGGAAAGAGGAAAAAAAGAGAGAAAAAAAAAATTTTTTTTGCCATGTCGTTCATTTATCCATGCTGTAAAATCTATGTGTCCAAAATTTGTTGACCTGTCATTCTTTTACCGTTAATTAACATGCCAAATTCAGGCTAAGATGGGAACAATAGGGATCAAATCAGAAAGTTTTTGAGTTGGAGGACTCAATCAAGGCCCGTATAATGGTTGAGGGACCAAAAATGAAGGTTTAACCTTTTGTTTTTGTTTTTGTTGTTGTTTTTGTTTTTGTTTATTTATTTATTTATTTTATTTAACCTTTTTTTTTATAATTTATTTATCAAATCAAACACATCCATTTTTTCCTCTCTTTTTCAACGGAAATTTATAGTTGTTTTTTTCTTCTTTTTTTTTTTTCTTTTACCTATTAGCAGTTGTCTACATGTAGCAGGTAGATAAGGAAAATACGACAACTGATTTTTATTGTTTGGGAATAATGTAATATTAATTCTTGACTTTAATTAAAAAATTAAAGCCCAACTTTAAAAGAATTGCAGTTTAATAAATATTTTTAAAATTAATAGTTAAATATAGTACTCTATTTATATAAATTTTATATATTATTTTATAAATTTATTTATTTTATAAATTTTAAACCTATTAGACTTATATGTTAAAAATATAAATGTTTTGATTAAATAATTATAAATATTATATTAATTTAAAAATTAATACATAAGATTCATATTAATAAAATATTAAATTTAAAAATTAATTTTTAAAAATATTTATTAAAATATCATATTTATAAAGTTAAGATTTTAATTTTTTTAATAAAAATTAAAAGTAATATGTATTATTTTCCTATTAATGATCTATTAGTTCGAATAGAAGAAATTTGATTTCTCTTAAACAAGATTTTGAGTTTGAATCTTATAAATGAAAAGACAAGCGTTAATGGGATCTGATACTATTCGATTTTGAATTAGTCGAGATTTAATGTAATTATCGGATACTGAGAAATTAATAAAAAAAATAATATGTACTCT